CTCCTCCACAATCCTTGTTCTTCAGAATCTTTGTCTCCATCATTCTCCTAATCAGAGCTTGAATCATTCACATATTTAGGATCACAAGTAGACCGTTCCACACCAATAATTGGGTCAACTGCTGAATTTCATCAATCTTGTCCATGTCTGCAACTCCACCTTCTGCACTAATACTTTCAACATCACCAGGCATCTCTTCACCATGATTATTAACCAGACACATAGGATTTAATGGCTCCTTAATGCAATTGCATAACAATGACCCATCAAAATTTACCAGTGGTAGGTCGTTCAGTATGTCCTCTAAAATACAGTATCTAGTTTCGGTGGTCGGATTGTTACAGAAGTTGGTGATGGAATAATGTTAATCTCCCACAGCAGAACAAAACATAACTTGTCATCCTTTTTGCCTGCGATCTTTTTGGTTGAAAAACTATATATATATCAATTTAAGAAATATTTGCAGTAAGTATAAAAAAACTAAATGTACAATGGTACTACAGGTAAAAAGATTTGATGCGTTTATACAGGGACGTTGGAACAATGAAAAGGCAAGGGGGGGGGGGCAAACTAGCACCAAGGGCAACTCTATAGACCAACAATTATTTGTTGACATGCCAACGAAAGGCTGATTGTGCACGGTTCCATTGACGATAGCTGTTCTGTGTTTTAGCAATAGTATCTACTCAAGGAACTATAACTGCATAAACACACTTAATCAGGTCACATTGAAGGTCATACTTCATGACCAGGTCCAAAACTAGAGATAAGATTTAGCAGGTAGTATTTATGTAACTCAAAGCGCACTTCTGCCCCCTTTTCCCCTAATATTAAAATAGATTTGACTCATAACTCATTTGGTATAAAGTCAAATACTTGTATGATTTCCGAGTATAAATGGCCAGTTTTCCCACCAGTTAAATTATAAAATAATCGTACCTTAAGGTCACAACTAGAATATATTTCTATGAATGAAAGACTATCACATTCGGCGAACATATCTTCAAATTTTACGCCGTTGTCGTTATCCATCAAACTAGAAGTTCACAGCATAATTTCGAGTTCTACACACGACATTCCTTCAAAAAACAGCCCCAGTCGCCCTTAGTCGACACAAAATGTACATAAAGATTGTCACGTCCATCCAAATCAGTTGCTTTGTTGCCACGAACAGTGCTAAAATTCGCCATGATTACAATTTTCAATTTGTACTTTTGAATACCGCTCCTTGTATTTGAGTAGTGAACACAACGAGAGCTAGTCGAACAATGACGGCGAGTCCCGGGAAATCGATAACATTAATGAGGTACAATGCATGGCGGGAAGAGTTTCCAACCTCCTCTGCAACAGCATGGAAGAGGACAACTTGCATGTGGCGGAAGATAGAATTCAGTCGTTGGTCCAAGGGATAGTTGGCGAACTATTTGTCCCAGATAATAGGCCCAGGCAAGATCAGCAATTTGGTGCCACTGAAGATGATCATGAAATAAACAATCGAATTTGCTTGCCGAGAACTTGTGCTGAACAACAATGCCATTCATGCCAACTTGCCATCGCCGCGTTGTCGCCGTGAAACAGTGTTAATGGTCCCGTTATTACTTCATTGACTTCGTGTACGAGTTCAAATTTAAATAGCATCCAAGTAGAAGGAAATAGCACAAAAGAGCAATTTAAACTATGGCTTGCAACGAAGATCTGGCCCTCGACCATCGAGACAACTTAACGTGTTCCGGCGGTCTTATAGTAATATTTCTTCGACGTGCAAATATTGTCATTCACGCCAATACAGCTAAAACCTCTTCTGAAAAAAACGAATATTTTCTGAAAGACGTATTTGCCTGCTTCCTCCAAGGGGTGAATACAAATTCAACCTACAAAAACTACACGAAGTCAAGGAAGTAACAACAGGACCATTTACAATGTTTCTCGGCGTCAGCGTTTCCCGTTATCAGCTCTAGTTCTCGGCAAGCTTCAGTGGCCCCAATTATTTGCTGGTCTTGCCTGGGCCTATTATGTGGGAAAAACAGATCGCCAACTATTCTCCGGACCAACGACTGAATTATATCTTCGTCACATGCAAGTTATCCTCTTCCATGCTAAGCCAAACACGTGAGCCAAAAGAGTGCCTTGTAGTTGAAACGCGGGAAATCGCAACATTCTACTAAATAGTAATTAGTATCGTTTCGAATCGTTTGTATTGTACTATATGTTCGTTTTGTAGTCTTAGAGTTGTTGTCGTTGTTGTTATTGTCGTTTGTCGCTTTTGCCATTGTTGTTGTTAATAACATATAACAACATCATTCTATAATCACCGCCTAATATATGTGTCATGCAGTGATTATGAAGACTAATTTCTTGCAAATAAATATAAATATTATCTAGTTTTTCAGTATATATAACTCCTCCTAGTGTAGTATAATACTGTTTTAGGAGTATTTCATTAAAGCATTAAAGCATCTATTCTCCCGCTGTAAACCGGAAGTGTATGCAAATTTTTTTGTCCTAATTAAATTAACATGCTAATTTGCCGAACCGTCCACGAAGAAAGTTCGACTTTTTTGTGTGTGGCATTTAGACTTGTGTGCGAGAGGTTCGACTTATTTGCGCGTAGTTCGAATGTCTTTTGTGAGCATTTCGTATTACATGCGTAAGCTTTCATAGTATTTACATGTGTTGGACTTAATTGTGTGTGTGTTCATAATTTTGTCTCTTTTAATAATAATAATAATAATAATAATAATAATAATAATAATAATAATAATAATAATAATAATAATAATAATAATAATAATAATAATAGGTTTATCCAAAAACTTATTGCAGCAAATGCTGAATTACAAGTTAAAACATAAATGATCAAGAATATTAAAACTATATCTTTAAAAATCTGTCAAGTTACATATTTTACATGTTAGAAGATATCAATATTTGCAAGTTATAAAATTTAAAAATCTATCAGTATTTATGGAATTAGGACACTTAGATTCGCTTAGATGTCGTAAGTTATGTTCATGGTTTATCACAACGCTGTTGTACAGTAATTGAAGAAATTTTTGAGTGGACTAGACGATTTATTGTCTTTAGCAAACTTTTTACAAATCTCTTCTCGTCTTTTAATCAACGTTTGGAGACCAACCTTCTGCAGCGATTCTTCATATGACGATCCAGGGTCAATTATTTTTGAGGCCGCTTTTAATTTGGACTGTCCCAACTTTAGCTTTTAAGTAGTCCGGAATAGCAGACCAAACAGGGGCAGCGTATTCGAGGATTGGTCTCACTAAGCTACAGTATACTGTTACAAGTTGTTGAAACCCAATCCTTGCTGTCCGTAGTATACGCAGTATATGGATTCTCTTATTAGCTTTCTTAGTACTATAATCACAGTGTAGATTCCATGAGAGATCGTTATGCAAATAACACCAAGTAACTTGTATGATGATACTCTTTCAATTGTATTCCCTCCGACCTGTAATGCATCTTGGAATGGTAATTTGTACTGGAGAAAATTAATTATCATTTCTTTGCATTTCTTCGAGTTTAATCGAATGCCCCTTGTAGAGGCATAATCATAGATGTCATTGACCAGCAAGGGAGTCACACTCCGTGAACATCTTGGGATAAATTCTATAGTTGTTAGGTCGTCCACGAATTTGATTCTGAAATTCCAATCACGAAGTAGACTATTTACCAGGACCGCAAATAGAATAGGGCCTAGTTTGGTACCTTGAGGTATACCTCCGTTAAGACACTTAAACGAGGACATCTTATCGCGGATGCGAACACATTTTTTCCTTCTCGTCAAAAAGGCTCGAATCCATCCCACTACAGCGGGGCGTACATTCAATTTCTCTAATTCAGCAACTAGGACACCGTGATCAACTAAGTCAAAACCTTTACTAAAGTCGGCGAAAAATACGCGAGCCAAGGAACCACCTCGGTCAAGGGTCTCCAGAACATTATGTAGTAAAAAGACTAATGCTTGTGTTGTAGAACAGCCTTTCATGGCAAACTGATATGGGTCAATCTGGTCGCCAATATCGGCCAGTAAGGGTTCCAAAGTAAAGCCTTCCATTATTTTGGCTAGCCTGCGTAGCAGGCGGTATTCGCGGGCACGAGAGAAGGGGAAGCTTGAAATACCGCCTGCCAAAAACTACACATTCTGAGTTCTCCCCGGCAGCTGAGCGCCGGAGCATTCTGATTGGTAGCCTGCGTAGCAGGCGGTATCTGATTGGTCAGAATGTTGATTTTGAATTTCTGATTGACAGGAGTACAGAATTAGAATAATTAGTGCTAATTTTAGAAGTTACTGTTGTCGTATTTAAAATATAAACTATTGTTATTTTCGTAATTGTACCGATATATCGAGTGATGGCATACACTAACCAAAAGATAACGAATGTATTAATTGAGAATTAAGCGTTGAATTATTTATCTGGAATCGGAAATCGCCTCGTCTTGAAGAATGAACAACGAATATCAATCCAACATTTGTTGCTTGAAGATGTGATACCGTGATAAAAGTGCAGATTTGAAGATACAGGCTCGTAAATGACACTCTAAGTCGTGTTTTTGATAGCGATTGGAACAAGCCTATTACAAAGTTACGTCTGAAGGGGCCGAAGTTGTGTTCGGCGAAAGGTATGGCTAGTCTATATTTTTGTTCAGACAATTGCGTAATTTGATAATACACGAACTCGCTTGACTTTCAAAGCTCATAAATCGCTATAATGTTGACATCGACTAAAACTATCGCTATGAATGAGGACATATTGTTACACTGAATCGAACGTGGTATTTTTGTCTTCATAGCATTAAATAAACCGAAGATATGAAACGTCAAAGCCGTATATTTGCACTGGTCTATTAAAATACGTGAGTTTGACAAATAATTAAAATAAATACATTACTGTAAGATGGGCGGGACCATGCGGTGGGCGGAACTCAGAATGTGTAGTTTTTGGGCAGGCGGTATTTCTAGCTTCTACCGCCTGCTACGCAGGCTATATTTTGGCTATCTGCGGTGTCAGAGATATTGGACGAAGGTCGTCCTCAATTGTCTTGGGCAGCATACACTTAGGTATTGGGGAGACAATTGATGACTTTAGTAATTCAGGGATTTTTCCTTGTCTCAAAGTACTGTTATAAATGTCAGACACCACTGGAGATAATGCGAAAGCAAAGTCTCGAAGTATCCTATTGGGAATTTCATCAGGGCCAGTTGAAATATGACAATTAACTTCCTTCAAGGGACGATACGCTTTACACGGGTCAACGAACATATCGAGTGGGCATTCGGCTTGATAGTTCCGATCGTCTTCAAGGGGTTGAAAATCTGATGATAAATTAACAAAAAAACTGTTAATGTTCTCAGCTAGTTCCTCTATTGTACCGGTTGCCTCATCCATTAGTTGTTCACACCATTCCGTTTTGCTAGAACCATAGCCAAGTTTTTTAATTTCTTTCCACCATTTGGATACATCATAGTCTTTCATATTATGTACTTTATTTTTGTAATGGGACTCTTTACACGATCTTATCTCACCTTGGACTTTGTTACTCCAAAATTTAAAAGAATGGGAATACTTCCCATACCTGACGAGAGATGTTTGTCTCTTTGATATAAATTGTTTTAACTTGTTCGACACCCAAGGTTTATCATAAGCGCTGATTTTTTGCTTTTTCAAGGGGAAGTATGAATTAATAGCGTCCATTATTGGTTCATAAAAGATATTAAATTTATCTTGGCAATCGTCCTCGTTAAAAACACCACTCTATAGGTCATTGCATATCCATCTACCAAACGCTCGCATATTACTATCCTTCATTTCCCTCTTATACACATGCCTTTCACGGATTACAGAATTTGGGGCACTTGGGTTAATAAGTATCGAAAAGTGGTCGCTACTACCAATATTTGGGAGTTGCACTGGTTCGTCGAAGAGTTTGGGTTTATTTACGAGTCACCATGCAATCTAATATGTTGTTTCATCTTGTGGATACTTTTACCAGTTGTGTCAAACCACAGCCCCTTGCGAGGGTAGATAGAGATATATTAGTACTGTTAGGGTTAAAATCACGGTTAGAACTATCAGGGCATCCGGATACTTTTTGAGTAGGGAATCAACGTTTGAATTTACATGTTCAATCAGTAACTCATTATCTTCGGCCTTAGCCGACGGGGGGTGATAAATTACGCCGAGTAGAATAGTTGAGGTATGGCGTGGAAGGCGATATGGTTTCACGTGGATCCACAAAGTCTCGAGACCTGGTAGTTCAAAATTAATCAGTCTTTCTACAAATCAGTCTTTCTATACTTTTGCTACAATGTGATCTATCCTTCCTCATCAAAATAAAGTTAGGAATGTTAACTGCTCTGTCTGGTACTGCATTAGTTAGCCAGGTTTCAGTAATTGATATAACATGGACACTGTTTAGCTGGGCAATAACATCGAGTTCGTCAACTTTTGGTAATAAAGATCTCACATTGTTCATTAATATAGGAGAAACGCTACTACTTGGCAATTTTTCGCGCGTATTACATAGAGGAATTAAGTTACATCGGTTAATACTTCTAGTTGGAATCTTTTCATTACTTTTTATTCTCTTGGTTCTCTGGGTTATGCGAATTGTAATGAGACTAGTGGGTGGGATATAAGTGGTCGTAATTGCTGTCGCTTTGGCGGCATCGCCATCATTGGGTATTGATTCAGATTCATTGGAGTGGGAGTTTGTTAAAATCTGGTTCCAACTACATCGAAAATCTGAAGACCTAACTCCACTTGTTTCAGTATCGACTTGATACTTTGCAGCGGTTCTAAAAAGGTCAGGTTTTCGTATTGGTTGGGATAATGACGTTGTTGAAAATGGTTGGTTTTGTGGAAAAAATCGCACTTTGGGCCTTTTAAGCAACTTTCTTCCTTTCCTGGAAGGGGCATAGGATCAAGTGCTTGGGTTTAGAAAATATCTCCTGTTCTTTGCTATCCGTTCCAGATTCGAATGGGAAAAGTCGCATTTGATTCCTTTAATACATCGGCCACGGCGGAGCAGGAATGGACATGGGACAGCACTTTTAGGTTTTGGAGGCACACGATCGGAATTGGGATGTTTACCTGTATTAGATATGTCTGGTTGACCAGACACGGTCACCTCTATAACGGAGCTTGTATTTCCATCTTTTGTATTCAAACCTGTCGTACTATGACTATTGTTATTCATGTCATTAGATTCTTGGGATGATTTATACAACTCGACTAATTCAATCATTTTATTAGGCTGTTCGTCTTGTATGGGAGTTTTATTTTGTGTGTTTCCGCTATGCACTACTTGGTTTATAACATCAGGGGACGGTATACGTTCGTAGTCATTTCTTAAGCGATTAGCTTCCATTATTAGTCCCCCAACGACTATGCGAAGCTTTCCAAAATCTGAATACCATTCATGACCATAATCTGAGAGGTTCTTCAACAAGGTTTTATATTCCAAGACCAAAAACGGAATCCTTAAAAAAAAGCTTCCAATATAGTGGGGCTAAACTATGGAATCGGATACCTGAAGAGATACGCAATTCGGTATCGTATAATTCGTTCTGTAAAAAGCTATCTTCCTCGACCTTAATCTCCACTTAAAGTAGTAGTTAATTTTTTGTCTAAATAGGTATATAATTGTATTTGTTATGTATGTAATATTAGAGCTAGTATATAAATAATAATTTGTAAGTACACATCCCTTTTGGAAATCATGCTTTTGCTGAAAAGGCCAATGTGTTTAAATAAAGTTGATCTATCTATCTATCTATTATTAATTGCATGCCGTTTATTCTCATTTACGAGACGCACTGAGGTTATTAAGCATGCCTTCTCATCTTCTAGTATTCTAATTTTTGTATTTAAATCAGAGGCCATATAGACTGAGTTGTTCATGCGTTCAAGGTATTCACCGTTTTCTTTCTTAAGATTAGCATTTTCATAACAGATAATTTCATATTCCTTCCTAAGTTGGTGTAGTTCTAAATATGCAATGTCACTCGATGGTTGGGGGGTTTGGCAAATAGATTCAAGGTTAGATATAGCATTATTATTTTGTACCGTAGCAACTATAAGCTGTTGGATTTGAAACTTAAAATCATTAATCGTTCAATAAATTTGTCGTTATTGCAAATTTGAAGTTTCAAACCTGTTGCACGTTTCTCCTTCCTTCGGACTTGGATTTGATTGTAGTTTTCTAAATATATCTTCTTCCATCTGTTTAGCGCCAGATCCTTGAAGCAACAAAGTTTTCTTGCTGTGATACCATTTGATTTTAACGATTTGTCCTTCATTCGAGATTTCGTTCTCGTTTGGAATGAAATTAGCCATTTTTCAAAATTTAAGAAAAACAAACCTGAAACCCTACTGAACCATATTCATATCAGTTAATTGCTCAAAATACACAGAAAACCAGAACATTTAGCAAATTCCATAAATTTATGCATAGCAACGTCCATAGTAAACGGATGTTTCTCCTTTTTACATTTTGAATATATTATTTTTAGATTGGTTTTCAACTCTCTCTTTCAATATAGTGTATTGAAGTATTAATATGTGATATATGTGATACCGCTGGCCAGTACTTCTATTTATCTCAATTCACACCAAATCTCGAACTCGAACTGTGTCGAAACTAAATCAAAGAGATATTTTCTAGTCAACTTTGATCGCTGTCTTCCTTCTTTTGCGCCAATTATATTCTCTTTGTTGATTAATTGTGATTCGACAATTGTAAGGGAAGGATCAAGAAGGAGAAAGAGAAAATTTAATGGAAATCAACACGTAACTAAAGTAAAGAAAATTTGTATTAACAGTAGCGAGGAACCATGTGTTTCTAGTCAGTCGGTTGGTATGCTTCAGAATTACTATGGTATTGCTATCACAAGTAATTCTGGAAACTTAAAAGCCATGTAAAAAGCTGTACTGGCTAGTCTGTTCCACCGTGCTGCATCAGAATGAAGGAACATTCACAATCTTTGCCCGGATGGTCTTGACAGTTGGTGTCGATTCAAGTAAGATCGAGCCAGAAACACATCGAAGTTTAAGAAAGGGTGTGGTCGTCCTGACAAAATTATAAAACTGGTGCGGCCAAATTATGAAAGGCTCAGTAATGACGAGCTGTTGAAAAAGTGTTTCGGTGGGAAAACACAAAACTAGAACGAATCCCTAAAAGGAATGATATGGAAACGGTTGCCGAAGATTGATGCTGCATGTAGCCCACTGTAGCATTGCCCAACAAACCTCAATCCAAATTTTAAAATAGTTGCGTATGATTCCTGGGCTATAGACCCATTGAAAAATAATGAAATTTTAATTATATAGCGCAAAATACATATGTGTATGGTCTAATGCGCTTGATCTAACGCCTGTGACAATGCATCTGGGGGACAAATTAGCAATCTATGCATAATATAACTTTTGTAAACAAAGCAAATTCTGTACAACTTTATAATAATTTTGTTTTCTAATGGTTAATTATTGCGCTGTATGCATGTGGTTGTTGTAGCCAATCAGATTTTGTTAGGGAGCATCTGGAGGACACTCTAAGGATTTGTGCTGCATGACGTCAGTGGAATGGTTCTATACTTGAGGAGGGAGTAAAGAAAGCAGACATACAGCGAGTCGCGAAAGCAAACCACAAGAACAAAGCTGAAATTATTAAACAAATAAAAAGGAAGCATGACAAAATAAAGGAGTAGGAAGGGACAACATATACAAGACAGGGTCCTTCTAAAATTATCAAGCAACAAACAGCGCATTTTTCTGTCTTATATTGGCTTTGACTGTTGAAATATCTTAAACCTAAATTTTAAAGCTGTTATTTTCAATTGGTGAAAATGGCCCGATTGCTTAACTTCTATGCATGAAATCTCAAAGACTATCAGAGCAATCCCTATGAATTTATCGGATAGGTTAGATAGTAAATACCATAGAATGAACGAGATTAATTGAATTAGCCATTTCCCAATTGAACAGAGGACTGGGCTAGTTGATATTTGGAGGGACGTTTGGAGGGACAACAAGTTATAGTGAGCCAGCTAAATATATATATTAAAAGATGCCTTATCATAATTGTTGTGTTTCAGGCTGCACAAATAACTTTAGGAATGTTAGAAAACTTCCTAGATGCCATATTCGGCATATTGTTTAATTTTTGTCCCTCCAAACAGGCGACTAGACCAAGTCCTACTCGATTGGGAAATGGCTAATTGTGCTATATTTTCTGGGAGTAATCACTATTTCAGTGATACGATTGTCTGCATTTTTTGGTGTGAGGTAATTGCTTCATTTGTAGTATGGCAATGATTCTGGTTAATAAACAATTCCCATTATAGACTAATTTTAAAACTAGGCAAGGAGATGCAAGTAAATCACCACAGCTATAAAGAGCATGTTAAAATTGGTAAATTGCAAAGTTTGGTTGCGAAATGTTGTAAAATGCGGAAATGTAGCCTTGCATAGTTCGCAAGTTTTGTACACTTTTGTATTGCGTGGGAAGTTCCTGCCACATTTGGGCCGAAAATGATAACAATTTCCGCACGCAATACAAAAGTATACAAAATTTACGAACTTTGCAAGGCTATAATTTCCGCATTTTACAACATTTCGCAACCAAACTTTGCAAAATTTACTAATTTTATTAATATCCTGATTCTAACTGTGGTCATTTATTTGCATCTCCTTGC